TAAAGTTGTCAAACCAGTCAAAATGACTGGTGTGGTAGTTCTAGTGTTAATACTGTTTGTTAGTCTCTATTACCAGTTAGCTCTACATTATTCCCGACGAGTGATTAAATTTTCTCGAAAACAAAATTTTTTCGCACGAGAAAATTTGTTACATTTGAAGAGACAGCCCGTACGTTTTTCAGCAATCCTTCAACTCGCAGCAGAGTCGTTCAATCCTCATAAAGGAAAAACTTTTCCCGCCTGATATCGATTTTTCTTTTCTCTCTCTCTATTTTTAAGTCGCGTAAAACCTTCGCGGTAAGGAAACCGGTTACACAAGGAGCAAATGGTTCGCGGCTGAACTTTCGAAAAAGGTCGTCACACGAGACGAAGAAGAGGCGGGAAGGGATGGAATGTGCGCTCGATGCTCGCCGATTTTTCAAACTTTTCGCCGGACTCGAGGCGTTTCCCAACGGACTGCCAACTGTTTCGAATTCGTGGGCGAGCTCAGAGATTGAAATTCGTCGAAGTCGTTAATCGAGACGCGAGAGATCTGGAAACCGCAGGAATCGCAGATGTAATTTCGAGAAATAATTCCCACAGGAGTTCTCGAATCTTGGTAGTTCGATTGGGATATTTGGAGATTTGGATATGCGTTTGAGACTGAAGATAATTAAAAGTGCAAGCCTTGCATCCTCAAATCTTCAATTTTCTTGCAATCCAAAGTTGCAGTTCAAAATTGAAATTACGAACGCGCGCAGTTTCGAAGAATTTAAACTTGGATTTTAGAAAACATTCGATACTACAGGAATAACTTTAAGACGACAAAATCCTGGACATCGAACGTAACTTTCGTCGAGTTAAATAATATTAAAAAACTCTTAAATTCGTACAATATATATATTCTGATATTAATAAAATTCCGAGTACCACTCGAAGAATTGAAAGTTCAAGAGTATCAACAGACTACGAATGTAGATACATAATCTTATCTTTCGATAACATCTGATAAACGAACGAAATTTCCATGAAACTTTTCACATGCACTTGACTCGGTTCTTGAAATGAAAAAGAGCGCAGAATGAAAAATTCACGACCACTTCGATGTAAGATAAAGCCGTGCGACGCAATTATGCGTGAAACATTGTACACAGGATCTCCATTAATTCTGGAGATTTGCATAATTTCATTGAGTTTGACAGCAGGAATATTTCGGCGAGCAGAAACTTCTCGAATTTATTTGATCGTCATTTTATTCGAATTTTACTTGCTAAGAAATATTTTTCAGACGATAACTAAAACATTTTCAGTTATCCAAGGGTTATCAATTTTTCTGAATCAATCGTTTGCGAATTTTCCCTCGTATCTGCAAAATATTAATTTCCCTGGGAGCAACAATCAATAAGAAAATTATTCGTGATCAATCGAACCATGCGGAAAATGCTAAAACAATCTAAGTATTTTTTTTTTTTTTTTTT